AATTAACAATTAGTGTGTAACCCGTCGAAATTATGACGATATTTTTCTGAAAGGATTTAGGCAAGCATCCTTAGTTGGGAGAATGTGTTCAAAGAGATAATTAACTAATAGGAGTTATTAAATAAATAAAAGATATTAATATTTTTATATTTATATTTATAGTTATATATTCTAGTGCTTTCAATACCAAAGAAAATAAATAACTAAAAAAATATCACTTATTTAGAGTTATAATACACAACTATACAAATTAATATCACTTATTTAAAGTTGACAATAATCTCTCATCTTAATTACAAAATTATTATTATTATTTAATGAATAATCTCCTATTACTATTATAAAGTTATATTTCTTATAATATTTGTAATTGATCTCTTATTTATATTAGTGAAATTAATAATATATAATTGAATTAATTATATTTAATTTGTTTATAAATTAACTTTTAAAAAAATATAATTATCTTTAATATTTTTAATTTTATTTTAGCTAATCAATAAAATAAATATATATTAGTTACCTTTGAATATTCATATTCTCTTTCTAACTTAAAATTATATTTTATAAACTCTCTCACTTAATATAATAGCATATATTCTTTATGTATTCCTTTATGACAAGACTTAAACTTATATAAAATAATAATAATATATTAATTTACTTTTATATAATTAGTTATTTTACTTTTATCTAAATTTCTATATTTATATAATTATTTAGTTCACTTTTTGTATTTTGAAAAAAATATATAAATAGAAATACTATCTGAGCTTTAATTTAATATATTATAACTGAAAATAAAAATCTTTCTTTACAAAAATCTTCTTCCAAATATTTTTTATCTCTCATATTTTCTTTATATACTTTAAATTTTATATATAAGTAATCTTATATCATATTGTATCTAACAAATTATTGATAGCTTTATATCATATTGTACTAAGCAAATTATTATGTATTGTATTGAACAAATTGTTGTTATTGAATTATTAGGCTTTATATCATATTATACTGAACAATTCACTATATTAAAATTATTAAAATTGAATTTTAAGTATTTTAATTTTTGTTATTTGAATTTTGATTATTAATAAATATTTCTCACTCATAAAAAAACAAAGTGAAAGAATCTTTGTTATTGTTCTTATTAATTATATTGTCTTAGCTTTGGAAAGTCTTATGCAAGTATAGAGAAAAGAATTAGTCTTTCAAATCCTCTTTATTATTTCTCTTTAAGTTATTATATTCTCTTTTCTCTTTTTATTTTTACTCTTTTTCTTTTAATATTTTTGTTAGTCTATTACTCTCTTCCAATCCAGATTCAAGTTTGTAAGCTAATTTAACAATTAGTAAACAAACTTGTAACAGTAAAAAAAGGTAGAAAAGGTAGACAAAAGAGTAAAAAAGATTAAAAAAAGATATTTCAAACTGATAATTATTAACTAAGAAATGATATAATTATATAATTACTAAATACAAATTATTTTTATTGATTTGTTGTTTTGCTACTATTTTTAGAGACTTTCATATTTTCTATTATTTTTTGAAAATTTGTTAATTAAAGAATCTTTAAAATAAATGTAACAGTACACTTCTATGCCTTCACTTGGTAAATTCAAAATAGGAATTGCGTCAACCAAACACGAAGACTTCACCCTCTTTGAACCAGTGAAAAACAACGGCCGATTGGATGTAGCAACTGTAAACAGTGTTCATCCTCTGATGTTTTGGTTGGGGAAACGGCAGGAACACTATTGCATGAAAAAAAGATAAGAGGCAGATTTGATCTCGGCTTACACATGTTACGGAATGAAGACTTACATATCGTTGAAGATTCTAGAAATAGCTTGGCTTGGCTAATTTCAGAATCATATACAGGCAAAAAAAGGGTCTTTCCTTCAAAACAATTAGCAGATGCATTCCGTAAAGAGGATACAACCTCTGTTGGCAGTACTGGATCAGTTACATATGAATTTTCACGTGTAATCTTTTGCCGATTGGTAAAAATAGAAGTAGGGTAAGGGCAAGGCGAACTGAATACAATGCCCTATCAGGTACGCAAAGAAGTCATTAGCATGATACATCATCCAATATTGTTACATGTTCAAAAACACTTACAACACCTTCACAAAAATCACTCCACTTTAATCCCCTCATTTGATGGTTCTTTTTGTAGTTCGCGGGTAATACTGTCAAAATCAACCTCAAGCTTCTCGTCATTACCCGTCAAAGTCACATCATTTGAATCCTTCTATTCACAATCCCCTCTATAGAAAAATAAAAAAATAATTTGAATCATGTCCCAATATTGTTTAAATCTTCGAGTTACGTTGATGATACCAACCTTCTACTAAAAAACGGAAGCAAACTGTGAGATATTCAGAATGCAAGAACCAGGATCTTGACGTGACATACCTCATTGATCGGTTCCCGTAAAGTCGAACTTTATTTTTTTGTCATCTTTAGAGGAAGACTTTTCGCTATCCTCGGGTTCTTCGTATTTGGAGCAACTTTACACCCCCTTTTTTTTTGCCTAAATATAGAAAATACATGAGCTTTTATGTTCTTATAACTTTACACCTATAATTTTTTACCTTTTTACGTGAAACGTTTCCTTCAATTTCATTCTCTCGTTTATGAGAAAGTGACAATTTTATAATAATTCTGTTCATAGGCATATTGAGTAAGCTGTTCGCAGAAAACAAGCGAATACAATCCAGGTTCTCTTATAAACGTCTCACTCAAACATCTTACCGTTTTTCCGAATACGTTGAGGTGTCCTAATGAGGCGAGTCGGATTCGCTTTCTTCTCGTTTAATCTTTAGACTTCCTTCCAAAAGTTGGTGACATCTAACGTCTTTTTTCCATCTTAGAAGGAAGACAAGTATCAGTAATAAGAATAAAAGATTATCTTTGAACAATACAATACATTGTAGTGCAATATATTGTGACTAAACAACTTTATCCGAACCGAAGATCATCACAAGAACAACCTCAGATGCTCTTGCTTGAGTAATGTCAGCACGCCATAGCACCAAGAAAAAAACCAATACTTAACCTCAAACGCATCCAAGGCGCTCCTTGTTTGCGTTGTCTCCGAGCTCACGGTCATTCTTAAGACTATGTAGTTCAGCTAAGTAGCTACTATCTCGATTTGAATTTCTTTCGTAAAAGAAGTTTGCTCCTTTCGCTGTATTAGGTATTCGTAAAGATCTCGCTTCTGAGAATAGCTCCGACAACTGTCTTTCTTTCACGCTTCACGTTTATCGTTTCGACGTAACAATAAGAACAAAAAGCCTTTATATTGATTACGCGTGAGAATCAGGCCAGTGTTGGTAAATGACTTTATTTTAAAATTAAAATCTAGCGCTTCACTGGAATCAGGGGTAAACAACGTTGATAATCGAAAAAAAGTAGGACATCTTTGTAGTAACAAAAAAAGGGCAGATCATGTGATGCCGACCATCCAATATCAATATTAGGTTAGAGTCAATGTTATTGTATAGCAAACGTAAGTCTGATATATAGTAAAATTTCGCAAGGAACATTTTTTATTAAAGCACAAAAAAATAAACATTTGTTTGAATTTTTGCGTTGCACATTGATCTTACGATTTGATTGGTGCATAATTTTAAGTGATGTCTGATGGTCGGTAATAGGGGTACATGTATATACATGTACACTCACCTGCCAAAAGTCTGGAATCGGGCAATGATCGACATAATTAAGGGGTATTTCAAATGTCTATT